AGTTACCTGCATTTTTCAAAAAGGGAGACAGTGAATGGAAACCAGTAGCTTACATGTTCTACAGTTGTTTCCAGAGGTGGTTTTGATGAGCAGTGTTATTCAAGTCTTGGTCATAGTCATAAGATGAAGACCTGTAATGTCATACAGGAGATCGTAAGATCATAGTGCTTGATCTTAATAAGAACAGGAGGAAGCAGCAGATAACATGGATGTGGAGAACATGGAATTTGGAAGCTGAGCCAGAAGACCTAGGCTGAGCTATGGCAGCAAAAATATCACAAAATATCGATAGAAGGCCAGAGTACCTGATGCTTCCAAACTTTATTTCATGTTCCCATTCCTTTAGTTAATTAATTGTGTAATACTTTGTAAGAAAAGAAAAAAAAAAAAGTCCTTCTATTCCTTACTGGGATTTAATAAGTTATTCTAAGCTTCTAAAAAAAAACTTCTGAGTTTATAGTAGTCTTATTTGCTGGAGGGTTTTGACAAGATCCTCAGAATACTGATTTGATCTAAGGCTGAAACTTAACTACAGTTCTTCTCTAATTCAAAACTTGCCTCCCATCCCTCAGCAAACTAATAGGGGAAGGGTAAAAATAGGCTCCAGGAACTTCATGACCTGGGATTTCTTGGAAGAAAAGTTGTTTAAAATACAAAAAAAAGGGAACTTTTTTAACCTTTTAGGAAAAGAAAAAAAAAAAAAGAGAGCTGAGAGATATTTGTTCTTTACTATTTTCACGGCATGTAAAGGCAATGAAGAGAAATTGTTTTACCATTGCATTTAACTCCCCATAACAGATATCAGCTGATCACTTAATAATTATGAAATCATTAATCCAGGTTACTTGCAACCATCTTCACCTACTGAGAACACATTCAAGTATTACTCATGTAAGTTATGAATATGAGGTGATTAATGACATTTGAGGAAAAAGGCTGTTCTTGCTGCATTTTATTTATAAACCAAAGATGAAATATTGTAGCTCAACATCTTGCAACTGAAGTTGACTGGAATTTAGCCTATGCATTAAAAATGTGCTTTTGGTTTTGCTGTTTAAGGAATAGATTCAGGGATTAATATGGTAGAGTCAATTTCACACCTATAGACACAAAGTAATTTTAATTTGAATTAATTCCAAGCATTTGTAGTGAGATAGATGTGGAGCTGGCAAACTATTTCTGGTTCCAAACAAAAGTAGTTAAAAGCCTATGGAGTCCAGAGGTATTTTGCTATACCGAAACAAAAATATAACCTTCATCTTGCCCTGAATCAAAAGCATAAATGTAATTAGTTCCTGATGAGTAGAACACCTCTTGCTTTGACATCAGTGCAGATGCAGGCAGGATCAGAGGGCAGCAAGGCAGGGGTGGCTTTGGTGCCAGCCTCCCCCAGCCACAGAGGACTTTGGAGCTGGAATGCTTCCACTGTAGTGACAACTGGCTTTTACCTGAAAGTAAGTGAAAGAGAAATATCAGATACCCTTAACAAGAGAGGAACTACTGCTTAGTAAGCAGTGACTTTTAAATGTTGTTCTGCCATGTAAAATAGCTTTAGCCCTAGTTTGGAACTATACTGCCACAGCGACTCCACCCGTGGGCAGTGCAGCATGATGTGTTGTTGCCTTGAGGAAACAAGTGACATTCTCAAGCATTGACATGCTTTCTTTTGGTAGGGTTTCCTTCCTCACTCCCTTTCAAGGAAAATATGTATTGTCCTTTTTATAGCTTCACCTGGTTTTTATGTTTAGTGAGGGATGAGTGTTTCAGACACTTGTAATGACCATTCAATTTGATGATAAGCCCTAGCTGGTTAGGTACAAAACTTTTAAGTGTCTTTACAGTCTGTTCTAAATATATTGCCCAGTAAGTGCTTTGAACATATAACCCATTTATTGTTGATGTAGAGATTTCTTTTTTTCACAGCTGTTCCCAGTGAAGCTATTTCTGTATGCATTGAAAATTGAACTTCTTTCAGCTTACATTTGGTAAAATGTGTTAACTGAACTGGTAAAATGTATTTCTGTAATTCAGATTTCTGTGTCTGTCTTCAGGTCTCCATAGCAATTGTAAGGAATACACAAGCTGTGTTAGAGCACAGCTTTATTCAAACATTATTACCTTTGTGCTGAGAACCTTTTTTTTTTTTTTGACTCACAGTATATTTGATGCAAAGGACAGTTTAATTGTACTAAAGTTAGTTTGAGTTGTATGATTGATTCTTTTAGGTTAAAAAGTACTAGCTACTATCATTAAATAATTTTTATTACCCTATTTATTCCCAGACTGATGATACAGTGAAGAGAACAGTTCAGGCTCAGATGGAGAAAATTACATACGTAATGCAGAGTACAGCAAGAGAAATTAAGTTCATTAATGACTTTTTTTACATATATACTTATTGTATACATACTGGATGCTGAAGTATGTTTAGACAATAGTTGATAATCACTGAGCAATGATGGTTAATAACCACTATACGAATTAAAATGCAACTGAATGGCAGCTAAAATTCTGATTTTGAAATTTATCTTGAGCAAAACTATTAAGAAGTGCTACAAAACCTAACAAACAAATGGGTAGATTAAGGAAAAAAACCCAAAACCAAACCACCTTCATTTCCTGTTTTGTCATTTACAGGTATTCCTGTTAATGAGTTTAAAGCAAAAGCCAGGGGAGGAGGGATGCAGAGAGGAAGGGGTCTATTCTGCTTCTGGATGTCCAGGAGAAAGCTCTGTAAACATGACAAGACTATTTAAATGTTGAAACATACGGGGGGGAAACATCAAGTCTGACATTTAAAAATCATGGATAACATTTGAATATTTATTATATCATGAAGAAATGTGTAGTTTTCTTGCATATACCTATTTTTTGTGCATGCGTGCAGAGTGCTCTTCCTCTGGCATATTTTCTTTTTATTATTTTTTCCTGTGCACTTTAGATAAATGTGAAGCGTTGACTTCCCCATTCATCCTCCTCATTTGCAGTCTCTCAGTTAACTAAGACAACTTTCCATGTTGAGCTTTACTCAGTGACATAGGGTGGTGCTATACTAACATGATGTGCTTTGCCCCAGAAATGCTAGTAGCTAGGAGAATCCATTTATTGCAGTAAGGAGGTAGTAGCTAGGGGTGGTCTTTTTTCATGGCCTTTTACAGCACCACTAAGCATTGGCAACTACAAAAAACATCTGTTGGCAGATAGCTCCCTATTTGTGCTTCGCTTCCATGGTTTCGTACTTTTGTCTTTCTTCACATAGGGGATTGCTGTACATTGCTGCAACTGCGGGTAAATTGTTGTTAAAAACCACAGTCAGTAAGAAAGGCCATCTTCAATTAATTAATGATTTTGAAGATTTAACAACTGAACTGTACCTTTAGATAAATAGAGGGATATGTTGAATAAGCAATTATGTTAGTATCACCTTATAGGTGGTGAAACCAAGGAATGGAGGCAAACTAACGTAACAAAATTTGGGTATCTTCCAAGTTTATCCCCTGGCTTACCCCCTTTAATGTACTGTATTGTGCCTAATAAAAGGCTAGGAAACTTGGACTAATAAGAATTATCAGATCTCTAGATGTGGAGAAGAAAATCTGAGAAATAACTTCTAACATTTTAATGTATTGTTTATTTTGGACTATATTGCCATATGAAGTTAAAATAATAAAGAAACTTTGGGCTAAAAGTCACTTACAATATCCTTTATAAATTGCATCCAGATGTTTAAAAAAAAAATCTTTTTGGTATATTCAAAAAGCCTGGGAAACTTTACATTTTGAATAAAATCAACACTCAAACAGAAGTCTTGTATTTGTATGTAAAAACCAATAGTATTAACAATAGTATTACCATTATTATTATTGTTATAATTACTGCTTTAAATGACACTAAAATGCTTTCTTAATTCAGTTTATTTTTTCTGGAAAATACCTTCAGCTTCCAGCGGGTGGAAAAAACAGACTACAGAAACTAATTTAGGTACAAATTGTATTTACAGCTAGGTCATACTAAAACATGAAATTAACATTATTGCTCCATCTGCCTTTTCTCTTCCAGCAGATCTATTTCATATCTTTATTTATATCCTGTAAATCTGAACTTTGACATCTTTGGACATTTTAGAGCTTAATCAAACCATTTAATATTCTTGCAAAATAGATTTTACTACAGCCTGTGTATATAACTAATTTTTGTAGTCTCTTGCTGGCTAACTGTACACAGCACAAAAGTCTTTCAAACCCCTAGCATTGTCTTCTGTAATATGTTATAAAGTATATGCTCTCCTTTCATGCTCCGGTGAGGTAACAAAGAAAACACTTTGATCATGAAATCTGGCCCTGTAGTAGGAATAAGTCTCCTTTCTCACTCTTCAGAAGTTTTACTTCTCTGAACTGCTGCTTGTGGCACTGCATTTTAGTTTGGAGCACTCTGCTGCTCTGGAGCTGAATTAAATACAGTTTTAAACAGAAGAATTATCAGGGTTTTTTTGTTGTTGTTCTTTTATGGAGAGTTTCTCTAAAGAAATAGAGCACAATTTCTTAAAGATTATGATCATTTTGATTCAAAAAACAAAGGCTTATTCCAAGCATTGGGAAACTTGATTCTATAATAACTTTGTGTGACAACCTTGGAAAAAGTTACTTCATTTCTTGGTGATATCTCAGTTTTCCCATCGGGACAATTGTATAGTATAAATAAATGGGAAATCAATGATACAACAGCATCTCATGGTTTTTGTTCCTACTCTGCAGTGCAGCCAGCACAATGTATATTTTCTTGACTATCCTAATTAATCAGGCTACAGATCAGTTCAAATATTGTATAGAAATATTTTATATGAAAAACTTATTATCAGATACTTTTCTCAAGAATTATTTTTTTTATTTCATATTTTTACTTCTAATTGTTGAGATTTCCAATACACATTGTAATGCCTTAATCTTTCTGTCCTGTAGATAGCTACAAATTCTTATTGATCTGTGTCATCACGTTGGCAGGGCGAACTCTGTTGGAGAAGCTCTTCAACAAGCAGGAAAATGCACCGCAAGAAGAAGCAGAAAAACTATGTTCTCGCATTATTGCGATGGGTCTTTTGCTTCCATTCACTGACTGCTTCCGAGAACCATGTAATCAGAGTGCCCAGCAAAGCACGCCCATGTTTGATGTAAGTACTGAAAAAGTTGTCTTTTGTCTGTTTTGCCAAGCAGGACAATGTTTATCAATAGCTCATCAGTCCTGAGAAAGTTCTGTTAATCCTTTTAATGAAAACTGTCCTTATGAGAGTGGCCACCTATTTTTCTAACTCAGGTGTGTGCACTTTTGTATCCAGGTGAGTGTAAGTTTTAAAAGGTTCTCCCACAATTTGATTTCTTAACTTTTTAACTCGCATCTTAGCCTGCTATACTGCTTAGCTGTTGTTTTCATTAAGTTTTCTTCTTTGAATCAAAGCGCTCTATCAGACTAGCAACTTTTCAATCCAACAGCTGCTTCACCAAAAATATAAATTAACGGAACAACAGAAAACAGCATGCTGCAAAACTTTACAAACCCAAGCGGGATGTCTATCCTAGATAATTTTTTTTCCTCCTGAAAAGACTTTTGATACAAAATAGTGCACAGGTCAGTGCAAATTTGATGGCATTCCAACTACAGCATTATCTGTGCCTTTGGGATATCTGGCCGGAGTGCTGTTATTGGTGATGTTTGCATACTGTTACAAAACTGTGGTGTAGACATTGCCTACCATACTTTTCCTTCTTCTTGGATAATGAATTCAATGTTAGGATGTCTTTCCATTGTATGAACTTTACAACCCATAAAGTTCTACAGTGAAATTCTTTTTATGATCCTTCCATTAAATTTTATCTTTGACACTACTTTGTACTGGTTTATGTGACTGAAGATAAGCACGTTTTTTTCTCTTTACTAATTAACTCCAAACCAATGTACAAATATTAACTAATCTACTTAATACCTTACTGGTATAGTTAAGATCTTCCCTATTCTACATATTAAGCTGAAGCTTGATTAGAAATACTCAAAAAATGATTGTCATAGATATGAGAGGACATGAATCTTTTAAATTCTTTAAATCTTTTTCATCTGTCCTGAAGAATAGTTTAACACAACTGGTGAAGGGAAAATGGGTAGAATAAATTGTCCTATGAGTTCTTAGAACAAACAAGCTTTCCTAGATAACGTAGCTTATCTACAAAATCATTCCATAGTCCCTCTAACAATATTCAACATTTATGTTTTTTTAAGAAAATAGTGCTTAAAACATTTTCAAACTGTTTCTTTTAAAATGTATTGAAAAACGGAGTGTGACTATAAAACTGAGGTTATTCAGGCAAATTAAACATATCATCTGAAAGTGTTTATGGTTAAATATAATCAATAACATTACTGGAAAAGATATTTCTTATTTTTCAGGTTGTTTAAAACAGTCTGGCAATGTTTTCAGTTCTCTTAGTTTTATCATATATTCAGCTAATCTCTTCTTCTTTAGAGTATTGAATACAATATTCTTTTTAAAAAAGCTTTTCCTCGCTTCTAAACATATTTTATCAAACTAAAAGTATGGCAAGAGGTAGAAGAGCTTCTTTTGTTAATTGGTGTACCGTGCTTTGTCTAAGTAAGAGAATTATTCTAGTTATCTTTCACTGGCCATATCCAACAGAATGGACTTTCTGACAAGAAACAGTTGTCCAGCTTAGTGCGATGTGAACGATGTGTCAAAGTCAGCAATTTAAGGTGTTGCTGTCTTAGCAGTGATTTTAATGTGAACTGGACTGTCAGTAAGCCACAAATGCTCCATTATTATTTTTCTGTATGAGTCCTCTAAATAGATCACGCTCCTGTAAAACAATGTCAGAAGTGGTGTAAAGCCCTGTGTATGCGTATGCAACTAGTAATGCATCCTACTTCAAAGGAGCATACATCTGTCTTGAACACTAGGATATCAAAAACTGAATTTCACATGGCAAAAAGATGCAAGCTGCTGCTGTTGAGTTAGGGAATATGTTTCTGCTTCATCCTTGGTGACCACAGTACAGGAACACCTACCTGTTTATTCATTACATGCCCTACAAGGGTGAAAATATGTGCAGTATAAACTCTAGTGGCTGAGAACTTCAAAGTTGGGCTTCTCCTAGCTGATTTTGCTTCTTAGAGTGAGTACAGAAAATATCTTACAGAAAATAAATGATAGTAGTTATGTAAGGAAATGAAACAATTAATGACTAGTGTGGAAAAAAAACTGATGATGAAGCTGTATATTACTTTTAAAAGGACATGCAAGATCTGTGACTCATGTCCCCTCTTGCATCTCTCTTCATGTCTGTACTTTGCTTTTTGCCTTACTTAGGTTTTCTTTTTTTTTTTTTAATTAATTCGTTAGAACAGGATTTTAATGTTAATCTAAACATTGATTTCAAACACAGAGGAATTAGACTAGCCTTAAGTAATACTTATATTTCACCCATCTAGAATTAGGAGATATATCATCTTTGGCCTTACTCCAAAATTGGGAGCAGAGCGTATTCTTTCTTCATCTCAGAGTTCATCAGATGTGCCTCCAGTTCCATCCTGGATTGCTTCCAGTATGGCTGATGTCCTTTCCACTCAGCTGAAACTGCCATCTGTAACCCTATCCTGGTCCCAGCCAGGTTTGTCTGCCACCACATTGTCCTTCCTCCCTGCTACATCCATCTCTGGTGCTTGCTTGTTCCTTAATGTCACTCATCTGGCTGTTTTGATTTTCATCTTAGTCCATTTCTTTTAAAGTCTCTTAGATCACTACTTTAGCATGTTTTTTGCACAACTGCCAACCTTTTTTCCCCTAATCTCCTTCCTTGAATGCCTCCTTTTTTCCTTTTGTGACTGATTCCATGTTTTTCTGAACTTTAACTTACTATTTTTTTTTATGTTGAATAAAATCCACCATTCCCCTTTTGCTTAAGCGTGGTCCCACAGACAGTTTTTTGAATGTTGGTTACAGTTTATGAAAATAATTCAGTAAGTTTTGTTCACTCTATGATATATTGCTCATGGCTTGAGATGAATATAGACAGATTATTTAAAAGTCCCATTCTCTCACTCTGATCTCCTTTTCTGGATGTCCTCCAGTTAAATTAAATTAACATGGCTAATGCTGAACTCTCTGCTGTCTCAAAATATTTGCAATTGCACACTCTGATTGTATTCTCATTTTCTTTATCACTCATGACAGTAATCACCTCTAGTTCTCCCTGTCTTACAACTGCGTATCCAAATCTCGTGCCTGTTTTCTCAGTAACACACAAGAGATCGGTTTTTTTCTTTCTCCCAAGATATTCCAAGCTTCAGTGTGGCCCTCTGCCTCATCCCATTAAATAATTGTACACAACCTCTTTTTCTTTTCTCATTGGATCCTATTTCTTTCTCTTCCACATTATCTTACTGGAATTAGGCAATGCGTTAAGAGTAAAGAGAACTTTCACAGCTCTTAGTTTCTTGGACTAGTATTGTAATGGCTCCTGGAAACCAGTTTAAATTAAATTCTTAGCACTTGTATTTCTGGTGCACGTTACACTTAGTGGACGTGATGCTCACTCCTTTATTAGTATATGACAAACATGAAGGACCAACAAATACCCAATGAGAAATCTTCAGAGAACTAGCAGCTGTCATCACATTTATGCTGAGGATGGTGTCCAATTTTCAGAGGCTTATAACTTGGTCAGATTTTGGATAGACTTTAATGATGATTGGAAATGGCATGTTCCTGAAGTATCTCTGACCTTTTTGTCAAATTCCAAATCTTAGTCCAAAGGATGGAAACTTTAAAACTGTTTTAAGACCTTATGAGAAAACTTTCATGCTCTATCTTAGCCCATTTTACCAATTATTTTTTTTCAAAACAGGTTGTGGCAGATGCCTAGAATAAAAGATTTGTCTGAAAAACAAAAGCTGAACAAAGCTTTAAAAGTAACAGAAGTAGACAGGTTGGGATTTTTAAACTGTTTGCCATTGAGAAGCAGTGGAAGATTTCACTATAGCTCTTTCTACCTACTCTTCTTATAATGTAAAGAGTATCTTAACGAGTAAGTAAATGTACAATGGCAGATTAGCTGTCTAGAAATATGATGCCCGTTTTGCTAGTTTCCTGTCTCCTGAAGTCTGCTAATTATTGCCTCATGGATGTCATGACTTCATACTTCTCAGGCTATCTTTAGCCTTTCATTCTTCTGCCAGTATTTTATAAAAGAAAAAAAGAGTTTAAAAATAATTTTTTTTAAAAATGACCAAGACAGCAAATGAGCAACTTATAGAAAGATAGATTAGCAAAAGCCTATTCAAATAATGTTTTCAGAAAAATTGCTTGCCTTTTCAATACCTTTTTCCTACTTGCCTCTTAAATTTTCCCTTTTTAACAGCTGTGATTTGTTCAAGAGGGCTTCCAAAGTTCCAAATAAAAGTAAAATATCTTCTGACTGAATGATATGTAAGAAATTAATGCTTTGAGAAAAACTCCATCAGTTCCAAGTGACTGCATCATGTTATTAAATAATTGTATTTCTGTGGTGCAGGTGTAGTCCTAAGCTTTTTAGCATGTTACCTCATTATTATAGCAAAACAAACACAAGGCTGAGCTAGCTAAACAGTGCATCTATGGCAAGAATGTAACCACGGGCAAGTCTTGCAAGCACCTGCTGGAGGTTCACAAATTTCAACAAGTAGATATCTCATCTCCTACTTAGCTCCTCTGTTGTATGTATCACAGAAGCTAGAAGATCTTTGGAGAGCTGTCAGCAATGTGTATCAATTATACACATTTGCATTAGAATTCAAACTGTTCGTACACCAACAAAAACCTGGCATTCTCCTATCAATGCAAGGCAACTTTATTTAGTCAATATTAGAAACATTGACTGTACTTGGTGTTTGCATTTTATCCAATAGTTGCATTTATGAAACGCTGTGGATGTCTAGACCCTAATTATGACTTCTCATTCCAGATTTTCCAGTTCACACTGTGCAGTCTTAAGCTATGGGCATTTTTTTTCCTTTCATAGGAGATTTCTGCTTTTTTTCCCTGGCAAGCATTCCAAATAGTTTTGTGTGTTGTTTCTGAACATTAAGTTTAAAACACTTACCTTTTCAGTGAAAATTTAAATGATTTTG